ATAGAATGCCAAGGATTTTTATTTCTGTAAATGTTGCAAGATTTTTTTAAAAATTATTTTTATATGTTTCACCTTTTTACAAAAAGAACTTTTGTAGTTTCCAAAGATGCTTACCTGGTCTAATTATATACAAGCTTAAAGTGTTTGAAATTACAACAAAACACTGAATTGAATCCAAGGGCTGTTGTTGTTAGGTGCCGTTGAGTCGAGTATGACTCATAACAAACCTGTGAACAACAGAGCTGAATCCTGTCCTGTCATCTCTGTTTATAAGCCTAGCCCTTACCTATTGCCAAAGCTCTCTGAGAGACAAGCCTTACCTGTGGATACTCAGCCCCTCCTCTTGGAGCTTCCATGTGGAAGATGCTAGCTGTGGCTTTCTCTCTTCCATTTAACTTTATTTTCATCATAAAAGGCAATAAATCAAGTGGTTATCTTCTAATATTTGACTCTTGCTTTTTCCACTTAGTATCATGAGTAAAGCCGAATATATAGATGCTTCTGGTGAAGAAAAATAAGAAATGAAATGCCCTTGTGTATTTCTTCTCTAATTTCTAACTTTTACTGACCCAAATTTAAGACTTCATGTAATAATAATGCAAAAGAAGAAATTATTAATTTTCTGATGTTACTTTTTCTGTTCTGTACAAAGATTTTATCAACAGTGTCATTTCTAATTTTTCACCTTAACTCTCATATGTGATGCCACTTCTATACTGTCATCTACTCTACTTTGTTGGAAATTTAAAAATTTTATTATTGAACTTGATGCATGTTTTCAAAGATTCTTTTAGGAAGAGTGTGCTGATGGTTTATTTTTTAAATCATTACATGGTATTTTTTTCTCCCTCTCTAAGCATTGTCATGTAGAATACCTTATAAATTTTATGTTTGAAATCAGCTGTAAGCATTTGTTCCTTCCGTAGTTAATCTATAATTTGTGCTTTAGATAAAATTTTTCAAGTATATCTAAATTAAATTCTGTGAGCAGAAATGCTCATGTTTATATATTTCTCTTTTCCTCCTAGGGTTATTTTGTGATCTGGCTTCCTCTTTGACTTTCTTCCTGACTCCCAATTCTTGTATGGATCTGTGTGTTCAGCTACCCACAGTGTTTTTCTTCCTTTATTTCAGTCATTGTTGATTCCATGCCATCTCTTCTGTCTCCTTTGTAATTTTCCTTAATGTCTTATTTGTGGGCTCATCTTCTACTGAGGTTTTCTATTTGATAATTAACTTTCCATCTCCATCCAATTTCTCTTAACTTTGAATGCTTTTCGTTCTCTTTTTCCTGAATGTTTGCTCTAGATTCTTAATTGCTGTATCATCATGTACAAAGTCATCAGCCCAAAGCCAAGCATGCAGGTTCAGTGGCCAATTGGAAAAAAAGCATAAAGAGCTGAGAAGTTGCAGTAGGCTTGAGATTCACTTTATTGTGGTACACACACAATGTAGGAAGAAGACATGCCACATGCCCCCACGCCACCAAGCCCCACCACAAGCCACCATGGAATTTCTCACAAAATTCTTATAGCATTGACAATAAAGGTGGTGTTTTGCTAAACCTTATCACCCTATGCACCTTCTCAGTTGCAAGTAACCTTACATAACAGTCCTGTACTTGCTCAAACATGGTAGTGTTTATCCCAAATCTGCATGTGTGGTAGCACATCGTGTTGTTGTTGTTGTGTGTCATCCAAAATTCAACTTGTAGTTGAATCTCCAGCAGGTTTTCAGAAGCAGTAAATCACACAGGGGGAGACTGCCCACCCTTCTCCCAGAGAGCAGCTGGTGGATTTGACCCACATGTCTTTGGGATTACGGCATAGTTCTTACCACTAGGCTACCAGAGTTCTCTGCAAATTACAATACAATCTGCCTGTTGTGTATATGAAACACATTACAGTATCCCACAAATGCTTTTTAAAAAACTTGTTTTAACCCAAATCAGAAGTGTCCTACAATTTTATCAACAGTTTGGGGAAAATGCACTTCAGATTGCTCCTGATGATGCTACTTGTGAATGGAAATGTCTTTTCCTCGATCCTGTCGTTTTACTTATAAAGGGAAACTTGGACTTGCTAATATAGTGAGTAATACAGGTTGTGTCCTTGATTGACCCTAGATCAAAGCATCTACACTGATGAGGGAAGAAGAGATTTTACTTTAACTCCAGATACCTATGTCCAGCACAGAGACCCAATAGCCTGTATGGGATGAAAGAGATAGAAAAATAGAGAAAAGATAAGATTTACTTTAATGAGTCTCAGACATATCCTGCCCCTGTTATATAGAGGCTGAGCCTCCCAGCAGAGGCCACTATTAGAAACTTGGAGCTAGTCCTTCTCTCTTCTGCTTCTTACAGGATTGCCCGCATGATCCGCCAGGAAAGAGGCAACGCCCTGCTGGTTGGAGTGGGGGGCACAGGAAAGCAGTCTCTTACAAGGCTTGGGGCTCATATATGTGGTTACCAGTGTCTGCAGATTGAACTCAGCCGGGGTTACAATTATGATATTTTTCATGAAGACCTAAGGAAACTGTACAAAATGGCTGGGATAGAAGACAAGAACATGGTTTTCCTTTTCACAGATACCCAGGTAGGTGCAGTAGACCCTGTGTCAGAATCTGAAAAACAGTGTCCTTAGAATTACATGTGTGCTTTACATAGTTTGTGGGATTCAGTACAACGCCTCATCCCCTCAGAGAGCAGGTTTCCTGGAACTTGCAGAAGATCGTTCTAATATATTTTTCTTTATTTCATCTAGTGTTATATTCCCTTATTAAATTTGATCAAAGGCTAAAGTGGTTAGAATAGTTTTTTACTTCTCTTTTAAGAGAAATAACAAAGATCACAGTAGAAGTAGGTAGAAGAAAGCAACTAGTTGTTAGGGAGTTTTGGTAACTTAGTGGTAAAGAATTGCACTGCTAACAGAAAGGGCACAGTTATAATCCACCAGCTGCTCTGCAGGAGAAAGACGGGCAGTTTCTTCCCGTGAGAGTTACAGGTCAGCTATGGGTCAGTTCTGACTTAACAGTACACAACAACAACAGTTAGTTGTTGGGGAACTATAATAAAAACAAAAAGTAATAGCTATATTTTGGGATTAAATGAACTTCAAAAATGTGATAGATCTATCTCTACTATAGTCTATTTAACTGATCTTGAATTTATTCTGTGGAAATTATCTAACAATATCATTAATATCACTGCAAGCAAGATCCTGCTGAAACTTATCCAAAACGACTAGAACCGTACATCACCAGAGAACTGCCAAATGTGCAAGCTGGGTTTGAAAGAGGCCGTGGCACTAGGGACATTATGGTCAATGTCAAGATGGATCTTGGCTGAAAGCAGAGAGTAAGACCAGAGGAACGTCTATCTGTGTTTCATTGACAGTCAAAGGCATTTGACTGTGAGGATCACAACAAATTGTGGCTAACCTTGAGAAGAATGGGATTGAGATATTATGGTACATTCACACAATGGAATACCAGACACCATACAGAAGCAATGATTTTGTAAATTATTACCTAAATCGGGAGGGACTGGAGGGTATTATGCTGAGTGAACTAACAGTCCCACAAGGACAAATATTGTACAAAACCATTATTGTATAATGAGTATGAAGATCCAAGGGGGGGACAAAAAAATTAATAAAAATACATTTAGAAATAAGTTTTTAAAAAATCCTTGCCTCCAAGGAGCAGCTTGGTTTAACCCTTTCTAGGACAGACCTGTTTATTCTGTTGGCTGTCCTTGTTTTGTATGTTCAATACTCTTCTCCAGTACTACAACTCAAAAGCATCAATTCTTCTTCTGTCATCCTTGGTCATTGTCCATAGCTCTGATGCGTAGCAAGTAATTGCAAAGACCATGGCCTGTATCAAGCTCACCTTATTCTCTAGATGATATCATTGCTCTTCAGTACTCTGGAGCAGTCCCTGACAGCAGATTTTTCCCAGTGCAATTTGTGTTTTGATTTCATGACTGCTGTTGCCAAGAATGTTAACTGTGAAACTGAGCAAGCTGAAGTTAACAATCTCAATCTCCTGTCATCTATAATTGTGCTGCCAATCAGTCCAGTGGTGAGAATCTTTGTTTTCTTGATGCTGAGCTTCAATCTATATTGTATACTATAGTCCTTGACTTTCTGCAGCCTCATGTCCTTCCTCAGTTTCAGCAAGGAAGGTTGTGTCATCTGCACAATACAGGTTGTTGATGAGTCTTTCTCCAGTCCTGATGCCACATTCTTCCTCGTAATGCCCAGCCTCCCGGATGATCTGTTCTGCATACAGATTGAAAAGATACGGAATCTGACATTTCCCTCCTAATTTTGAACCATGCAGTGTTTCCTTGCTCTGTTTTGACAACTGCTTCTTGATCCAAGTATATGTTTCATGTGAGCACAATCAGGTATTCTGAGATTCCCATTCTTCTCAAGGTTAGCCACAATTTGTTTTGATCCATACAGTCAAATGCCTTTGACTGTCAATGAAACACAGATAGACGTTTCTCTGGTACTACTCTCTGTTTCAGCCAAGATCCAGCTGACATTGGCTATAGTGTCCTCAGTGCCATCTCTTCTAAGCCCAGCTTATGTATCTAGTAGTTCTGTTGATGTATTGTTCCAGCTCGTTTTGGATGATCTTCAACAAGATTTTGTTTCTGTGTGATATTGTTTGATAATTTCCACTTTGTCAGATCAGTTTGTTAGGCTTTTTTAAAATAGGAATTTCCACTTTGTCAGATAACTTTTCTTTTGGAATTGGAATAAATATGGATCTCTTCAAGTCAGTGAACCAGGTGGTTGTCCTCCAGATTTCTTGGCACAGCCTGATGAGCACATCCAGGGTTGCATCTATTTGTTGACATATTTTTTCCAATATGTCAATTGGATTCCATCAATTCCTGGGGCCTTGTTTTTCCCAGGTCCTCAGAACAGTTTGAACTTCCTCATTCATCACCATTGCCTCTTGAATGTGTTTTATTAAATTCTTCTGTGCCAGCCAATTTTCTTTTTAGTAGTCACTCTGTGTATTCCTTAAATCTTCTTTTGATGCTTCCTGTATCATTCAGTATTCTGCCCATAGCATGTTTCAGTATTGCAACTCAAGGCTTAAATTTGTTCTCTGTCCCTTCAGCTTAAGAAATGCTAAGTGACTTCTTCCCTGCTGATTTTCTGACTCTGGCTCTTTGCACATTTCATTATAAAACTTTGCTTTGTCTTCCCCAGCTGCCCTTTGAAGTCTTCTGTTCAGCTCCTTAACTTCCTGATTTCTTCTCTTTGCTTTGGCTTCTCAATGCTCTAGTGCAATATGTAGAGTCTGTGCCAACATCCATCTTGGTCTTTTCTTCCTCCTTTGTCTTTGTAATAACCTTTTGCTTCTTTATGGATAATATTTTTTATATCCTCTCATGGCTTATCTGGCCTTCGCTCATTAGTGTTCAAGGCCTCAGATCAGTTCCTGAGATGGTATTTCATTTCAGGTGGGATACACTAGAGGTCAAATTTTGGTTCTTGTGGATTTTATTTTATTTTCTTTAGCTTCATTTTGAACTTGCACATGAGTAGTTGATCATGTGTTCCACAATTAGCACCTGGCCTACTTTTCACAGCTGATATTGAGCTTCTCCAACAGTTCTTTTCACAGATGTAATCAATCTGATTCTTGTGCAGACCATAGACAGAACTAAATACAAAACTAAGGAAAAATAGTTTTAACATTTATGACATAGAAAAGTACCCTGGTGTTGCAGTGGCTAAAGCATTTGACTACTAACTGAAAAGTTAATGAGAAACCATTCACAGCGGCTCTGTGGGAGAAATATGTAGCCTTCTGCTTGTGTAAAGATGTCGTCTTAGTAAATATGACAGTTCTACTCTGTCACTTATCTAATCACTGTGAATCAGAATCAATGACAGTGGTTACAACATATATTGAGTTTTTAATGTGTGTGTGTGTGTGTGTGTGTGTGTTGAGATATATATGTTTATATACATTTATAGCTCAGTGTGTGTAGATAGATACACACACACTTATTGCACATAGATAAGGAAAAGACACACAGATCAATAGAATAAATATAAAGGAAAAAGATTTTAATATGTGAATGATAAATTCCTAAAAAAATATACATTAGTCATACAAACAAAACACATTTGCACAGAGCTCTTGATGGTCTAGTGATAAGAAGCTGCACTGCCAACCCAAAGGCACATGGTTGGATCCACCAGCTTCTCCAGAAAGAAAGATGGGTAATCTCCTCCTGTTAATTTACAACCTCTGAAAACCTTCAGAAGAGTCAGCTATCAGTCAGTTTCAACGTATATAAAGCATAAAGCTCAACTCATTGCCTTCAAGTTGATTCCAACTCACAGTGACTATTTTTTAGGTTTCTAAGGCTGTAAATCTTAATAGTAGAGGGCTGCCAATCAGAGCCACTAGGAGATTCTAACCACTAAAGACACATAGCTTTTTAAACATTTTAAGAAATAGTCAGCCTCCCCACAGTCAAATAAATTTCAATAAAAGTACCCATGGTTTTGGATCTGCTCATTGAACAGCCAACCCACTGCCATTTAACACTATTGAACTTTCATTAAAAAATTGATATTAGGCTTAAAAGAATGTTCTATAAATTCAGTTGGTAACATTTTTTGCCCATACATAATCAATGGAGTATTTAATGATGTGGCTCAAAAATTTAAAATATTTACATAAAAAGCTCCTGGGTCAAGAAAACCAATATAAAAATCTCTACCTAGAGAATACAGAAAGTGAACTCAGTGTATATAAAAATCAACACAATACAATAAAATAGTACTCAACATGAAAATCATACATTTGAATAAAAATTCAAACCTACTTAACTTTGTTGGCTTAATATTTAAGAAAAAAATAAAAGGAAATATAAAAAAAATAAGGAAATGAAATAATAATACAAAAGATTAACTAAATTAGCACAAAGAGAACTAAACTTTTGTTTTGGTTAGAAAAATTAGCAGACACAATTATGCCATGTTCATTCAAGAGGGAATATATGATAAATGAAGAAAAGATAACAAATATAGTCTCACAATTAAATCTGAAATTTAAATTTTTATTATCACTAACAAAGCTAATTGAAACAAATAAGTAAATGACATATTTTTATTATTTGTATCACTTCTGAGAGACAAGTGGTTCATTTAATATCCATTCAAATACATAGAAGTGAACAAATAATTCCTTTCAAAAATGTCAAACAATGAATGTGAGGATACTATTTGTATCAATTTGCTAACAGTCACAGAAATGTAAATTAATAGCTCCGGAAGCAAATCATCACATTTAAGTTAGTGAAGTCATGTTTAATTAGGGAAAGAGTAAAATTTTCAAAATTCATATATATGTGTATATATAAACAATTTTGTTATTAATTTCACTTCTGGGAACTTCTCCTAAGGAAATAATAAACCTGGGTAGAAAGCTGTAGGTTTGGATGTGTCTTTGCCAATGAAGCTGTGAGCGTTCATACATGAATGTATGAAGAATGACAGTAACATGTTATGCTCCCACTGATTATCATGAATATGATACATTGTGCATAATCATGAATTGTTGTTGTTGTTGTTGTTATGTGCCATCAAGTCACTTGAGACTCATAGCTCTAAACTCTGCTCTGTCCTGTGCCAATCTCATTGTCTCCAACACACTCATCCCTATTGTCCCAGTCACCGAATCAATTCACCTCCCAGAGGGCCTTCCCCTCCTGCGCCTGCCCTCCAGCCTCCCAAGCATGATGTCCTTCTCCAAGGACCAGTCCCTCCTTAAAACATAACCAAAGTATGTCAGACAAAGCCTTAGAATCCTTGCCTCCAAGGAGCAGCCTGGTTTAACCCTCTCCAGGATGAATTAATATTCATAATAAAACAGTAAATCAAATGTTTGCATATATTAATTGAACCATGTAAACTATCAATAACTTCTAATAAACAACCCAAACTGGTTCCAACCTATAGCAACCCTCTCTCAGGTTTCCAAGGCTGTAATTCTCTACAGGAGGAAATTGCCCATCTTTCCTCTGTGAGAAGGGTAATAAATTTGAACTGCTGACCTCTCAGCACCCAGAAATCAAAGGAAACACTTATTGGAATATTGAGAGTCTATCTAATAGTTGAGATTACCTTTTCTTAAACATATCACTAATCCAGTGTCAATTTTAGATTAAACATTGGCATAATAGTTTATGTAATAAATATGAAGTGGTGAGTGAATTACAATGGTCATTCTACTTTCTTCCACAGATTGTAGTGGAAGAATTTCTGGAAGACATAAATAACATCCTGAACTCGGGGGAAGTGCCAAATTTATTTGAAAAGGATGAACTGGAGCAGGTTTTAGCTGCCACAAGACCAAAAGCAAAAGAAGTAGGAATAGCTGAGGGGAATAGAGATGAGGTGAGACATACCAAAATGGTCATATGATTTTACAAATAAAAGATTTGCCTTTGTATTTTACATAAGAATCCAGGAATATATTTAAATAGATCATGAATAGGGAGAAAGAAGGACTTTGGGAATACTGAAAACTCCTCTTTAAGGTTTTAGGAAGTTTGGGAAACAGTCTTGATGGTTGTCTAGAGGGCAGAAAATAGGACATAACATCACATAAATGTGTCTCTCTCAAAGGACCAGAGGAAATGAGAATAGCACAGACACTCACTGCCTGAGTAGAAATAAGAGCCTGTAGCCCAACCCCATGGTGCCTCTAGAGCTGCACTAGCAGCAAGAGGTTTGTTTACTCATTGTTGACTCAGACTCACAATTGTGGTACTGAAAATGAGTTTATTAGGGAAGTTAGAGAGTGCAAGAGGCAAAGAATACCACCCAATGCAAATCCAGGTTTTATCTCAGCAGTCCAAAGGCACAATTCCTGAATTAGTGCAGGCTCTGGTTTCAGTTCAGCAATGCAAATTTAAGAAGCCTTGGGTTTCCTCAATCATCCAGCGAGGTTTGCCTCAGAGCAATTGTAAGTCAGCTTTTCATTCAAGCATCTGCAAGAACAGCAAAACCTTAACTGTGGCCTTTCTCTTGGGGATCCTCCAGTTACACTTTGCCACAGCTTTTCCATGGCAATGCCATAGTCTCTCCATCACCATCGCCATGGTCTCATTTTCACCAGAGTCTTACTCCAGTCTCTCTCAAGTCTTGCCATCCAGTGTGGGATGTGCTCACTCACGCTCATGCTCTTATCCTAGCCCCATAGCTGTTGACGATTTGCAAGACCATGTGTCTGCAGTTAAGGTAACTGGAGACCAGAGGAGCTTAACTTAATGGCTAGGGGGAAAAGCCAACGTTAAGCTAATACTGCAATGGTCAAACATTAAACATAATTCAACTCATTGAAATGCAAATAATTATGTATCTCACAATTATATAGATCCATATATATCTACCCTTAGTACTAGCAATGTCACTCAAAAGACGTGTCACCTTGGGAAAGTCTTCTCTTAAGTGCTGGAGAGCAGCGATGTCAATGTAAAGGCTAAAGTGTGCCTGACCCAAGCCCTGATCTTCTCAGTTGCTTGCTATGCATCTGAAAGTTGGACCATGAAGAAGGATGACAGAATATTCAATGCCTTTGAGTTATGGTGTTGGAGAAGAGTACCGAATTATCTCATGGACCGCGAAAAGAATAAAAGATATGTCTTGAAGAAAGTGTGACCAGGGTGCTCCTTGAAAGCAAGAATGGTGAAACTTTATCTCACATACTTTGGACATGTTGTTGGAAGGGGACAGTCCTTGGAGAAGGACATCATTGAAAAGGTGGAAGGTCACCTTAAAAAAGGAGGATCCTTAACAAGATGTACTGATATAACTGTAACAATGAGCTCAAGTATATTGGATATGCTGAGACTGGTACAAGATTCATATCTGTTGTCCATAAGGTTGCTGTGAGTCACAGATAACTCAACAGCATATAGCAACAACATATATCTATAGACACATACAGCAGAGCACTGGAACAAGTTACAGTGTTGTGGGCTGTTGAGTTGGAATCATAGTAATTGCAATAGTCTAATTCAAATTTCCTCTGTGACCAAAACACTAATGCTCTATTCAAAAAACGCATGGCCATCAAGTTTATTCTAGTTCATAGTTAGCTTGTGGGACAAAGTAGAAATATCCCAAAAGGTTTCCAAGGCTGTAATCTGAACATAAGCAGAGTAGCCAGTGGATTTGAAAGTTTGATCATTTGGCTGGTAGCTGAGGGCTTAACTATAACACCTCTTCTTAGTACTGTGTTAGCAACATATTATTTTTAAGTAAACTTTGCACCAAAAAAAAAAAGAGCTCATGAATGCAATTTTTTCTTTTTTTTCAACATAATTGATCCTCTTTGTAATCATATATATGTACTCAATTATGTGAACTGTGGAAAGAGATCTGTGGAAAGTGGGAGTAAATCCTGAACACCTGATACACTAGAGTGATCAAAGTCATATCCAAACTGGCCAGTTTCCAATAGCCTTTTTTAAGTGCAAATTCATTCACATGACCTCAGCACCCACCTGGGGAGTAATAAAGACATGAGTCAGTAAGTTTGACTAGTTTACCTATCAGCAATGCTACAGCACCACCAAGACAGGTGTGTTTCCACTCACTGGTTTCTAGCATCTCGTCCACCAGCTGCTCCACAGGAGAAATGTGAACAATCTTCCTTGTGTCCTCTAAAAACTCACTGGAAGGTTAACTATGAGACGATTCCAACTCGATGGTACATAGCAACAACCACCGATTCCATACTTAAGTCTTTTCACTTCTTTCTGAATTTCATTTTTCTTGACTTTGATGAACACCTCCATTACTAGGTCAAGTTCAGCTCATGTATGTGAAAAGGGTAGATTAGAAGGGCACAGAATCACTAGGAGGCCAGCAAATATGATTCTAGGCTGAACCTGGGAATAAATTCCCATTTAAAATTTAAAAATTCCCATTAAGAAGGTATTGACCAGGGAGGACATTTCATCTACCACAGCCATCCCTGCTGGACCAGGAAGACTCCCCCCATCAGCATGCCTCTGCTTCAGTCTCTGTCTCCTCCACTATGCCAGAGACAGGGCCCCAGAACTATGCCACTTCTGTGGCCTCTTCCAGTGATCCTGGTTCCCAAATTAAAATAATCTGTGAATGCTCCACTTCATTCAAGAAATCTCCTCAGATAGCAGATTAGAAGGCCCCAAACAACATCCAGAACCCTGATTGCAATAGAATCTGAAAAAAGTTATTTCTAGTCTTCTCAGATTGCATAATAGAAAGGTTGGAGGAAGATAGTGAACACTTTTTTTTTCCTATTTGATATTGGTAATATCTAATTCCTTAGCCAACACTTACTTTCACCTTGTTTGTGGTTGAAAACTGTTGAGCGCTTCTTTGTTTTGTCCGGCGCTATTTTGGATCAGGTGTTCCAGTTCTTCATCAGCAGAGTCCGTCAGAAGCTGCACATTGTTCTCTGCATGAGCCCCGTGGGAGAGGCTTTCCGGTCCCGATGCCGCATGTTCCCGTCCCTCGTGAACTGCTGCACCATTGACTGGTTTGTCCAGGTGCGCGACGACCCTGAATATCTCCCCTGCACACGCTAGATTTGTTTGAGTTTATAGCAGTTACTTATCATCAAAGAATAACTCACAGGCTTCGGCATTAGCTTTTAAGGTCACCAAGAATTTATTCATATACTAGAAATGAAATCACCATTTTGTTGTCATGATTCAAAGGAAAAACCAGATTTGTGAAGGCAGAGGATACCATTTGGTTTAGCATTGTAAAAGTTACTGGTTATCTTGACCAGTGGAGTAGTGGGAAAGAGTTCAAAAGAAAAATCAGAAAGTAAGTTACAAAAAAAAGTTAAAGTAAGTTACTTTTAAGAGTATTGCCCCTCATGATTATTGTATGGTAGAGCTTATACATAAGGTCGCTATGAGTCGCAAGCCACTCGATGACACATAACAACAACAACAACATGTAAGGCTGCTCCTTGGAGGCAAGGATTCTGGGGCTTCGTCTGACGTACCTTGGACATGTTGTAAAGAGAGACAGGTCATTGGAGAGGGGCATCATGCTTGGGAGGGTGGAGGGACAGCGCAGGAGGGGAAGGAAGACCCTCTATGAGGTGGATTGATTCAGTGACTGGGGTAATCGGGATGGGTGTGTCAGAGGCATTGTGATTGGCACAGGATAGAGCAGGGTTTAGGGCTGTTGTACATAGGGTCACTATGAGTCGCAAACCACTCGACTGGCACATAACAACAACAACAATTATTGTCATGACAAGAGTCCGGAATGAAAGCTGCACAGTGAAGTGGTTGGAATGGGGAGGGAGGGAGTAATTGTATAACAATGAAGGATTTTTTTTTAACTTATCAAAGAGAAAAGCAAATTGGTGGGAGGGGTTGGCAGGGAGGAAAGTGTGCAATGATGAATGAATGGAAATCCAAAGTCTCTGTAAACTTTCATTAAAATTAATTTTTCAAAAAGTCTAATTGGAAAAAAAGTATTGTCCCAGAGAATGGAGAGATGAGGTAACAGCTAGAGGGGTGTGTGAGGTCAAGAGAGAAGCATCACTATGTGGGAAACACAGCACACGCGTGTGCCCATGAACGTGAGCCAGAAGGGGAAAGAGATGGTGCCACAGACAGTGGTAACCATTGTTGTATCAACATTATTGAGGAGGAAGGAAGGGGCAGGATCTCCAATGAAGGGTGCTGACCTGAGCAGAGACCATGCACAACTTGCCCCAGAGTAACAGGAGGACAGAGTAAGTGAGCACAGATGCAAGTCAGGGGGAGGATGGAGGGTGGAAGCCTGTTTCCAAACTTCTGTTTTGTGTCTGCTTTGTTTACAATAATCTAGGAACAAGACCTACAACTGAGAATGAAGAGGAAAGAGGTTGTAAGGTTTGAGTAGAAAGAACAAGGTGTGAAGTTTTTATATAAGAAAGTACAAAAAGTAAATGTATTAGAAATGCAGTGGGATTTCTGGGCAACCCTAGGGCCCCTTGGTCAAGTTGGCATGAATTTCTAGCAAGACCAGTCTGCATGGTTGTGTGGTTTTCCCCAGCCATGCTCCACGCACAGTGGTAGGCCCGCTGTAACAGTTACATTTGTTAGAGTTCAGGTGACCTCAGAGAAATAGATGGGGCAAAGGAGTTAAGGTGTGAGAGGACAGTGATTTTAATGATGGACCTGAACTCCAAACTGTATAATAAACAGAATGGGGACATGAGGTCCTGGTAATGTGATTTTATTCATAGAATTATTTTAAAGACACCCATTATTTATCCAGTAAGCAAATCTTCATTAAACATTTTCCGTGTGCCAGACAGCTGAACAAAAGCAGACATAAGACCCGTTCTAATGACCAGAGCTGCTTAATTAATTATAGGGGTGGGGAGGGGGTTACAAGGAAAGGAAGGGTCCCAGAGAGCTAACTTTTCTTCATTTGTTCAAATGTATCCTTGGAAAGACCAACAGAATTTCCAAATTGTTTTCTTATTTAAAGTGGCCCAAGGAAGCACTTCTGTCCGTATCACAGACATTCTTCTCAAATATTGACACAGGAAACGTAGACCTGAGAGAAAGGCTTCCACAATTGTGTGTGAATGTTCACTTGAGTGTCTCGCAGATGGCAGAGCGCTATTACACAGAGCTCCGGAGACGGTACTACACCACACCCACCTCCTACCTGGAGCTCATCAATCTCTACCTGTCCATGCTGAGTGACAAGAAGAAGCAGTTGGTTCTGGTAAGTTTAATATTATCAGGAAATGTTTTTTTAATTTTTGTTTTGTCTCTTGAACTCAAAAGCTTTTGCCAGAGTAAGTGGCATATCTATCTGTGCACTTCCTTTAACCTCCTGGAGGGTTCTCCGTATTGACATGTGTCTTTGACAACCTATGAAGTGGAGAACAGTGTCTCACACTATTACGAGGTGCTGTCAGTCCAGAGGACTTGTCTTTCTTCATATTTATGTTTAATCTTCTGTTCTTCACGCCATGTCTGAACTTAGTAAGGTGGAATGGGCAATACAGCAGCAGCCCCGTTAAGTAGGCACCTGGTCATCTCTGGAGTATTTAATACAAAGAAAAGCTTCCTGTTAAGCATTAAAGATGGGATACACTGGTCTCACATATCAGAGGTTCCCATTATCACAGCAAATGCTTTGGTGTCACCCAAACTCGGTACAACTTATGAGCTGCCTCTTCTTTGCTGTGAAACTTTGAATACATTCTGTAACTTCTCTTAAATCTTAGTAGAAAATAAAGCCTAAAAATATATCTTACCTCTTACATTGTGAAATTAAATAAGATACTATTTGTAAGATACTTTGGAGTATTATCTGACACATCTGAGATGCTGAGAAAATGGTACATGCTGTTGTCATCTTTATGCTGTTAAACAGGAATTTAATTTCTTTGCATCAATACTATCCTCCAGTTTTATTGTTCATCAGTATTACCTTTGTTTCTTTTTCTAACATTTTAAAAATTATTTTATATTGGTATGCATACAAAATTTGGATATATTGGAGTTTGTTTATATACATTGTGTTTCACACATTCCCTTGTTCATGTTGTATTTTGTACTATCATTCTCATACATTGTGTTTTATAAAATTATTTACCATGGATGTATGCTCACAATGACCCTGCCTTTTCACATCCCCACTGGATCTTTCCTAACTCCTTCACCCACCTCACTCTGCCCACCAGGCTCTGCAACCTTGAGATTTTCTCATCTCTTTATCCTCAGCCCTTCTCTGCCCTCCCCTTCCCCTTTGGGACTCTTGTACACATCTTACTTGTTATCCTTCTGTCTTTATAATAGTGTTCTTATGCAGTAATTTGTCCTCATGAGACTGAGTTAGTTCACTTCTTTCTGCTTGTTTATTCTCTTGTTGTTCCTTTTGATTGATATTTTTATGAAGAGAGAGCTGTCAACAATAAACAAATGAAAAATCCTACTTTTCTGTAAACTTTAATTAAGATTACACTTTAAAAAAATTTTTTTTAAAAAATTACCAAAACACAAATACCAACCAATGAAATGTCTTATAGAAATCCTCTATAGTTTTCTTTGTGTAGGTCTTTTATATCTCTAGTTAGGTTCCCTCCCAAGTATATTGCTTTCTTGGTTTCCTTCTCTGAGTTCTCTTTATTACTGTAAAGGAATCCTATTGATATCTGGATAGTGATCTTAAATTCTGTCACTCTACTAAATTGGTCTACTATCTCTAATTGTATTTTTATTGAGTCCTTGGGTTTTTTTGACATATCATGTCATCTGCATATGTTGTTATGTGCTGTCGTCACTTGCGAATCATAGAGACCCTGTGTACAGCAGCCCTAAACTCTGCTCTGTCCTGTGCCAATTGCTCGTCTCCAACACACCCACCCAATTACCCCAATTACTGAATCAATCCACCTCATAGAGTGTCTTCCCCTCCTGCTCTGTCTGCTCTGTCCTGTGCCAATTGCTCGTCTCCAACACACCCACCCAATTACCCCAATTACTGAATCAATCCACCTCATAGAGTGTCTTCCCCTCCTGCGCTGTCCCTCCACCCTCCCAAGCATGATGTCTTTCTCCAAGGACCAGTCCCTCCTTACAACATGTCCAAAGTATGTCAGACAAAGCCTCAGAATCCTTGCCTCCAAGGAGCAGGCCGGTTTAACCCTCTCCAGGATGAATCTGTTAGTTTTCTTAGCAGTCCATGGTACACTCAATACTCTTCTTCAGCACGATAGGCATCAATTCTTCTTCTATCGTCCCTAGTCATCATCCAACTCTCTGGCGCATAACAAGTGATTGCAAAGACCATGGCCTGTATTAGATGCACCTTAGTCTCCCGAGTGACACCACTTTGGCGAGGTCCCTAACAGCAGACTTTCCCATGGTAATACGTTTTCATTTCCTGGCTACTGATGCCAAGAATGTTGACTGTGGAGCCAAGCAAACTAAAGCTGTGAACAATTTCAAAGTCTTCACCATCCATCCTGATGCTGCAAATTGGTCCAGTGATGAGAATCTTTGTCTTCTTGATATTGAACCTCAATCCATATTGAATGCTAGAGTCCTTCACCCTCTGAAAGCAAACGCTTCAGGTCCTCTTCAGTTTCAGCAGCATAACGCAGTTTGTTGATAGATCTTCCACCAATCCTGACACCACACTTCTCATAGAGGCCAGCCTCCTGGATAATCTGTTCTGCATACAGGTTGAAAAGGTATGGAGATAGGGCACATCACTGGAGTACACCCTTCCCAATTTTGAACCATGCAGTGTTTCCTTGCTCTGTTCTGCATCTTTTAAAGCAGATTTTCCCAGTGTCATTTGATTTCTTGACGACTACTTCCATGGATGTTGATACTTGTCTCAAATAAATGGATCCTTGATAACTTCAATCTTGTCTTCATTTAATGATGTCGTTTATTTGGTCCAGTTGTGCTGATTTTTGTTTTCTTTATGTTAAGGTTACATACGGAATGTTAATAGTAGTTGAGTTTCATCAGTAAGTACTTCAAGTGTTCTTTGTTTTCAACAAGCAAGCGTGTATCATCTGCCTATTATCACCAAAGTGCAGCAGACTGACATAGTAGTAGATTTACCATGTCTGCACTTAAAATGCTTTTCAGTAGATCATTACCTAAAAACCCAAATACCCTGTAAAACAAGTTGGCATATTCTGTTGAAATTTTTCAGTTTAACCAAAGCATCCTAGCTCATCTTAAAAAAACAAACAAACAAAAAACAACAACAAAAAACAAATGGCGACAAATTCCATCATTTTGGATCTACTTAAGACCTACTGACCACTGGGAGTGGTGCTTAGATCCAGCAGGAGTGGTTAGAGATTAGCTCCTCAGTATCTTCCCTCCTCACCCTCTCCGCTGGGCCTCTCAACTCTGATGCCCCACTTTGAAGGAACAAGTTCTTAATGTTGTTGCCTCTAAGGATTCCTATCTGAACTCACTCCTCAACCATTTAACATGCCCACATGCTACTGTGAGAAGATAAAAATGACAAAGATGTGACCCTGCATCCTGACAACCCACAGCCCAGTGAACTCCTACTGCAGGACCAGGGGACATGAGTCCAAATTTGCCATGCTGAGTGTTATAGCCATTTCTCACAGAACAGCTACCTGACGTGTTCTTCAAGGCATTACAAACTGATTGTCCATGCTAAATGTGAAATTCTGGTGCATGAATGTGTTATCAGTAAGCTTATGGTTTGTAATACTATAATTGATATTTTCCTTGTCCTTTAGGCAATAAACAGAGTGAAGAATGGTCTGACCAGGTTACTAGAAACGAATGAACTAGTAGATGTGATGAAATTAGATCTTTCTGCTTTAAAACCTGTCCTTTTGGCAAAATCACAAGATGTTGAAGCCCTGATGGAGAAACTGGCAATTGATCAGGAAAATGCTGATCGGGTAAGCTGCATCCCTACCTATATGCAATGAAGTCATTCAAATGATCAGACTGTCTTTTATATGACATTAAAGAAAAAAAAAGATGGGTGATAGATGATAGATAGATAGATGATAGATAGATAGATAGATAGATAGATAGATAGATAGATAGATAGAGGATAGATAAAAAATGTCTAAAGTTGTAAACAATCTCCCTTCAATAAATCAGCATGGTTCTCTCCCTCAGAATAACTATATCTCAACAAGTAGGATGGGTAGAGTTGTCAGCAAAATACCCACTACAGAAATAAAGTAGTCATGCCTCTTCTAAGAAGCAACTCTTGTTATAATTTAAGTTTTTCTCTATTATTCTATCACCTGGATTTTCATAAACCAAGGAGAGCATGGAACACATTATCTCTGCTCTAATCCAAAAAGGCAAATAGAATTCATTAACATTAACACTGATTTTGCTTTTAAGTACTGACATTCAAATAATGAGACATCTAAGCAGCCATGTTTCCATGAATAGGTCCGTCAAACTGTGCAAAAAGATGAAGCAGTGGCAAAAGTGAAAGCAGAGGAAACCCAGGCCATTGCTGATGATGCTCAGAGAGACCTTGAAGAAGCTCTACCTGCGCTCGAAGCTGCCAATAAGGCACTGGATTCCTTAGACAAAGCTGACATAGCTGAAATCAGAGTTTTCACAAAGCCCCCAGATATGGTCATGACAGTTATGGAAGCTATTTCCATTCTCTTGAATGCAAAGTGAGTAATTCAGAAATATGTATGTATTACAAGAATACCATTATTGGTTCAGTCATTATGATTCAACAAGTATTTTTTTAAAAATCTTTTTTTAAAAAGTATTTTGTGCTACATGATGGGAGTGAGTGTCTAGATAAAGTTCTTCTCTATAAAGGGCATACAGTCTGTTGGAAAGACAGACATGAAAAATAATAATTTCAAGACAATATGAGAATTGCCAAATGGAATTATTTTTTATTGTATAAATGAACATTTGCAAAGAATATTGATTTTTTCATTCAATATCATACATTTCAATTCTACACATTCAATTCTTACACATTCTGTTTGGTAATATTAATCATATCTCCGTACCTTTTCAACCTATATGCAGAACAGATTATCCGGGAGGCTGGGCTCTATGAGGAGAAATGTGGGGTCAAGATTGGTGGATGAGTTATCAACAATCTGCGTTATGTGGATGACACAACCCTGCTTGCTGAAACTGAGGAGGACCTGAAGCGCCTGCTGCAGAGTGTCAAGGACTACAGCCTACAATATGGATTGAGGCTCAATGTCAAGAAGACAAAGATTCTCACCACTGGACCAATTGGCAGCATCGGGATGGGTGGTGAAGAGACTGAGATTGTACACAGCTTTAGTTTGCTTGGCTCCATAGTCAACAGTCTTGGCACCAGCAACCAGGAAATTAAAAGGTGCATTGCCATGGGAAAGTCTGCTGTTAGGGACCTCTCCAAAGTGCTGAAGAGCAGTGGTGTCTCTCTGGAGACTAAGGTGCATTTGATACAGGCCATGGTCTTTGCAATCACCTCTTATGCATCAGAGAGTTGGACAATGACCAAGAAGGATAGAAGGAGAATTGATGTCTTTGAGCTGTGGTGCTGGAGAAGAGTATTGAGAATACCATGGACTGCTAGGAAAACAAACAGATTTGTCCTGGAGAGGGTTAAACCGGGTGGCTCCTTGGAGGCAAGGATTCTGAGGCTCCGTCTAACTTACTTTGGACATGTTGTGAGGAGAGACCGGTCCTTGGAGAGGGACATCATGCTTGGGAGGGTGGAGGGATGGCGTAGGAGAGGAAGGCCCTCTATGAGGTGGATTGATTCAGTGACTGGGATAATTGGGATGGGAGTGTCAGAGACAGTGCGATTGGCACAGGACAGAGCGGAGTTTAGGGCTGTTGTACCTAGGGTCGCTATGAGTCGCAGTCGACTCGACGGCACATAACAACAACAACACAATATTAATCATAATGTCCACAGTGCAATCCTACTTCTTCCTAATCACACTTCCCTCTTGTAACTCTCATCTCCATTCATCCTTCTATCTTTATCCTCTCCCTTCCGGCCTTCTGGGCTTTCTTCTTGGGTAGATGCTCTTTTGGCCTCATATGCCTGATCATTCTAAGGAGTGAGTGTCTCCCCAGTGACATTGCTCCCCTCCCAGGCTTGCCTGTTGTTTGACTAAAAGTTGTACCAGAAGGTGAGTTTTGAGTGAAGATCATAGTCTCAGGGTTTCTGCCCTTTTTTTATGTTTTTGAGTTTTGTTCTATCTAGAATTTTTCCCTGGATCCCTGAGAGAGGTTGGAGGGACACCATCTAGTTCTGATTATCAGGGTTGTGGAAGTTGAGATGTCCGTAATCCATTATTCCTTTGCGCTGATTGTTTCTGTTCATCTTTACTTTCTCTCTCCTCTTTTTTCTAGCAAGGAGCGACCCATAGTGGCCCCTTAGAGGCCACTCAAAAGCTTTTAAGACCCCAGGTGCTGCTCATCCATGGAAGATGTTATCTTTGTGGGCTGTGTTCTGTCATTTGGCCTTGATATCTTGAAAGCTGAGGTCCAGGTGTCAGAACTAGTAACTCCTTCCATTGAAGTGTTCAGTTACGATTACGAAGCTTTCAAAGCATTGTCCCTTGTTGATTTTGTTTGATACACTGATATATTAACAGTATATACTAATATGAATGTAGAAATAGCATCAGTCAAACCTGTATATGTCACAGTGCAGTCCTCTTTATCTATCTGCTTGTCTACTGTTGATATCTTTCCTGCGTGCCTCTCTTGTGCTTTTTTTCAGCATTGTGCTGATCATCCCTTTATGGTATATTGCCTCTCTAATCACCCAACTTACATATTTATTGATTTTTTTTTCCCTCCCTCTCCTTCTTTTCCCATCCCTGGTAACCATCCAATAATTATTCTGGCTGTGTGTGAAACTTGCTTTAGCTTTTTATAATAGTGGTCTTATACAATATTTGTCCTTTTGCAGCTGACTTAAATTTCGTAGTATTGGGAATTGCATGATGTTGGGAATTCTGATTACAAAGTGCCTACGTCCACCCAGGGAGGTATGAGCAAGTTACTTGGGAGCTAATGCTTCAGCACAGTGGGACAGTGAGAACAGCTCAGGAATATTGATGTTGGTAGAACAAAATGAGGCTGAACGAGGGTCTTTTATGCTGTACTACATAGTTCTAATTTAATCTAGATAATATGTTTTCAAAGTTTTTTTAACTCAGCCCCAATTTTTTCAACAAAATGTGTATGGCAAGGAGCTTCCCTTTGGAAAACAGCTTAGAGCAAGAGTAGAGACTAGCCTGCATTTTTGCCCCTCCTGTCTGGGTTCTCTGCAGAAGGCAATTGGAAACACCAGCAGAGGAACCTAGAACCACCGAACGTTTTACCTAATCAAAATTTCATGTTGGTAAGACCACTCAGCAGGAGAAGAGGTGAGAGAGGTGAGGCTCTGTGCCAAGATCGAGCACTCTCCATTGCCTGTGTGAAGACAGAACTCAGGGGAGACAGGACTCAAGCTTCCCTGGGGTTATAGGTCCCTCCATGTGGGGATCCTTGCCTCTCTGGCTGCAGGGCCATCTCAGAGGTCAAATAGGACAAGAGACTTAGTATACAGAACTATAAGCAGAGGAAAGAATTTTCTTAGCTGTCCATGAGTAAGAGGGCTGACTTGAGACCCTCTGCATACAGCTGCTTGAGCTGGCAGTCCTGATCTCCTGCCACACCAGAGACAAAGGAAGACACTAAGCTGCAGGATCAAAGGTGAGAGATGAGAGGCTCTGTGCCAAGAGCAAGTACTCTCCATAGCTTGTGGGGAGACAGGACTGAGGCATCTCTGGGCTTCTAGGTCCCTTCATTTGAGGATTTTTTTGCCTCCTTGACTGTGGGGCAATCCCAGAAGCCAAACGGGGGGGAGGGGGGAAGACATTAGGACTCAAAACTACAAAGAAAGACTTTTCTCAGATTTCTGTGTGAGGGAGTTCTCACATGAGATCTCCTGCACACAAGCTGCTTGAGCTGGTGGTCCTGATGTCTAATCTGCTGCCACTCCAGAAACAAAGGAAGACTTTAAGCTCGAGGAGAAAAGGTGCATGAGAACTGCTTGAGTAGAGCACCTAGTCTCAAACCACTCAGCCACTTCATACATAAAGGAGGACTATAGAATTGGTAGAGGGAACTACATAAAGGTGAGATTCCTACAGAGCTTCTGTGCTGAACAGAGAGTAGCTCAAAGACTTTAGGAAAGGCAAATTTTCCCAGAAAGGAATCACAGTAGAGTGAGTAGCTTACTTAATAGACTGAACATTAACTTGAATATTAACTGAATAATAACTTGGCAATTAACAGTAACATCATAAAGACAAAAGCCAAAAACAACCTTCACAGACACCATAGGAACAACTGAACAAATTATCAAGAAAAATTTGTATAATGTCAGAAAGCAGCAGGCAGCTTCAAACACTGTAAATGAACAAATGAAGCCTTCCTCCAAAACAAGCAGAGAATATTACAGACCTCATGAATACCCCAGAGTCAAGAAGGAAGATAATATATGTTGATATGGAGACATTCAAACAGCTATGAATTAAAGGACAAATGATGGAAGAAACAATGGAAGCCAGAAATAAAGGGAATAACCTAGAGGTAGAGAATCAGCAAAAATATATTGATTAAGAGTTATTTGAACAGCTATGGAAAAAGGTGCAAATAATGGAAGTAACAATGGACCACTAAGAAAACAAACACTCCATGGAGCCATATATTGATGAGGAGAAACTTGCACAACTACAGAAGAAAATGTAAAAAATGGAAGAAAGAATTGAAACTATATATAAAGAGGTACAAGAACATAAAGGGGTACAGCCAATACAGAACTAGAAATAACAGAAATGCATGAAAATGCAATCTGGAATATTAAGCCAGAAATGGCAGAATTGTTCAACATGTTTGAAAGACAAAAAATGTAGAACACCTGCAACCAGGAGAAGATAAAATAGATGAATGGGATCTTCTAAGAATCAAATCCCTATGCACATCCAAAAACATCTCCAGCAGGATAAAAAGGGAAGCCACAGACTGGGAAAAAATATTTGGTAATGACATATCAGGTAAGGGACTTATACCAAGAATTTATAAAATACTTGAGCACCACAACAAAATAAAGGTGAATAATCCAATAGGAAAATGGGCACAGGATATGAACAGACACTTCACCGAAGAAGACATTCAGATGACTAACAAGCATGAAGTAATGTTCACAATCTCTAGCTGTAAGAGAGATGCAAATAAACAACTATGAGATATCATCTCACCCCAGTCAGAATAGCAAAATTCAACAGAACAGAAAGCAACAAATGCTGGCGAGGTTGTGGAGAAACTGGAACCCTTATTCACTTTTGGTGGGAGTGTAAAATGGTGCAACCACTGTGGAAGGCGGTATAGTGCTTTCTCAAAAAGTTGTAAAAAGAGATACCATTTGACCTAGCAATTCCACTACTGGGAATATACCCCAAAGAGACTATAACTGTCATCCAAACAGATATATGCACACCCATGTTTATCACAGCTTTGTTCACAATAGCAACGAGTTGGAAACAACCTAAGTGCCCATCAACAAACGAATGGATAGAGAAGCTGTAGTATATTCACATAATGGAATACTACACTGCATTGAAAAACAAGGAACTCATGCAATATTATTCAA